GTTTGGGCAACTACAAGAAATTAGGAAATTACTACAAGTTACAAAGTAGGGGAAGAGAAAGATAGTCCTGAATTCTGTAGGATGGTGAGAAACAAGGACAAGGTTGAACTGCTGCAGTGTTAAATGAACTTTATGTCACATTACGTAAACTGAAATGAAATGGGCAATAGATGTGTATTAGAGTAAAAATTAGAGTACACAGAGAATAGGTAGAGCCAGACTGTGTGGGGAGGGAGGAGATACATAAAAGAGCTTGCCTGTCTGCCTCAAAGTATGATGATAAAAAATATGCACACGGGGCACATCTATACATGCACATTTACTGCACAGTAACCAAAATTACTGCACAGTATGGGCACACTTCTACATGTGCACGCCTGTACTGCGTAGTAAATATTGAGACTTACACCAACTTAAGTGTACATTTGATACTAAATTTGATACCTGCATCATTCAGGTATCAAATGTATGACTGATTAGTTACTGCACAGTGACACGCATGTAGACTCCTTTCTGTGCAGTAACAGTGTGTGTGGACTGACTTTGGACTGACTTTAGTCCCAAGTCAGTCCACACACTGCGTTAATGTGCTTTAACGCCTGCACATGTAGATGTTGGCCCAATCCTTACTTACCGCTCAGTAAATTTAAGCTGGTGCAAATGCCCACAGAATATTAACAGTTTACACTAAAATTACTGCAGTCATCACCCCTCCATCAGACTATTTCTGGAATACTCCAATACCAACATTTCATTTTTAGACACTAGAGTCAATATCCAGAATGGTTAAATACAAACCACCATATACAAAAAACCCATGGATTAACATACATATCTGTACAGAACCAGCAATCACCCGGAACACACCAAGAAAGCTGTGATATACAGCAAAGCCCTCTGATACCACCAACCTTGCACCGAGGAGAACACCCAAGATATTCACCTCACAAATCTCAAAAGGGGTTTTGATTCAACAAGGACACTTTTGTAGAGAAATAGATCACTCTTTTGAGAGAGCCACCTGGATACCACATGAAGAATTGCTGCAGTACAAAAAGAAAATCTCCACAAATTGGACACTTTTAGTTATGACATACCATCCTTCCCTATAACCTATACGGAAAATCCTCAAACAATTGCAACTCATACTAAATAAGACCCAGTTCTTAAAGAGATCTTTTCAGAACCACCTATCCTAGCTTTTAAACACAGGCACCATACCTTGCCAACCTCATCACCAGAAGCAAACTTCCTCAAAGCACACTGAATGGATCCAGACCATGCCAGGACAAAAAATGTAAAACCTGCCAACACATGTCCACTGCTCCCACAGTAAGTACACCCCGCAAAAGAATCATCGCCATTTCTGGATCTTACATCTGCTCCTCCAGAAATGTAATATAGCTCACCCAGTATACTGAATGCCCTCATGGAAACTACATAGGAGGAACCAAACAGGAACTGCATACGAGAATGAATACACACTGATAATCTATCAAAGACAAGAATACCTAATTAACTGTGTGGGTGCACATTTGTCACAAGACAACTACTCTCTCTCCAATCTCTATTCTAGTCCTCAAAGGGATTTTACAAAACACCTTTTGTAGATGAGCCTGCAAACTTTACTTCATAAATCTACTGGATATAAAAAATCATGGACTAAATATAGACATTGGATTTATTGCACATTATAACCTGCCTGGCATACCATAACCCTAGGTAACCTCTTTACATTTTCTCAGCTACATTTTATCACCTGTTGACATTCCCCTCTTTTGTTTCCCCTCCACCTACTTGTCTCACACCCGTTAACTCCTATCCTCTCTGATCTTCCCTGCAACACATTTGCATTTTCTCAGACCTGCATTTTACATATTGGCTTAAGCTTCTATTCCACCCTAGAAAGAAGACAAACTCTCACTGTGCCTGAAGAAGAGTGCTTGTGCTGGAAAGCTTGAAAAGAACAATTTTCCAACTATTTAGTTGGTCTAATAAAAAATATCACATTTATCCAAATAACCTTGTCTGCCTACAATCCACTACAACAGTGAGTTCTTTAGGAAACAGGAAAAAGAGTGCAAACTCTCTAGAGCAAAGCACAAACAACCTTGTTGATATGCTATTCTGTGTGAATCAGTAGATAGACTACAAGTCTCCCGTCTCAGGATAAAAAGTCGTAACATTGGAAAATATTTTCTAATCTAAGTTTATACCAAATTATTACTAAACAGAACCAATAATTTGAAAAGTTATGCAAAAAATTCAGATTAGGAAAATAGTTTGGACAGAATACAGCTCCATAATAAACAAAGAGCTTTAACTCGAGCAAACAGGGTACTTATACATGAGCGCGGAAGCTGCTCTGATGTGCTGGAATTCCAGTGCATCGGAAAAGACTTGATTAACCGAGCTGTTCTAGTTAAAGTGCTGCTCCCACCCATGGAGCACATGTAAAAGTGCCCACCAAACCTAAATATGTTCAATTTTTGAGCCAACTGCTTGACCTAAGTGTCACAACCCAAAGTTGTGGATTTTTTGATTGTGTGCGCTTCGGCACCGCTAAATTATGTTCCCGCCGAATTGCAGCTCTTTTGCACGACGGAGTGTTCTGTTGTTATAGAGAACCCGCGTGCAGAAAAGTGTTTCCCACCTTTCTGTAGCCTTCTTTGCATTGTGCATTACTCTTGCATTACAGTGATGCATGCTGCAAAGGAGTTCCCGCCAGTTGTATTAAGATTTGAGCCACATTATTGACCGGTCTTAATTTAGGCACACGTGGCGGCTAGCTATTGGCTTGCTAGCCATACAAAAGGCTTGGGTGGTTTCCGCCCAAGTTGGAGAGAAAGACGGAAAAAGAGACGGAGAGAGAGACGGAGAGACGGATCTCTAAGCGCTGTGGGTCCTTTCGAACCCAGCGCGTCTTTCTTAAGAAGGCGATAGAGGCTCCAATTGCCGAACCCCTGGAGCCTAGCAAACTCCGGGGCACCACTCACCGACAGCCTCTAGCCTCTCCCCGTCACTGATCGCAGCCCAGACGAATCCCTACCCTAAACCCAGTTATCAAAACCACGGAGTCTGAACCACTCCGAGGATCCTGGGAACCGAGTTTTAGAGTCCTCCAACGAGGATTGAAGCGGAGCTGTACCTGGAAACTGTCCAGCCTGCACCGCGACCATCTCCGGTGTAAGTAAATAATCTTTTCAATCAACCATTACGCCTCCGTGACTGATTCTAGCTCGAGTGTACTACTTTACCCCGTGGTTTTTCTCCGGCCCCGCGTGCCCGGGCTGCTGGCCACAGCCCGCGTGCACACAGATGGGCCCAGCTCGCGCCTGGCGAGGACGGGACCGGGAGCCGGCCCGCACGCTAAGAATGCATGGTTCAGTATAGATTATTAATGAACAATTTCTAAATCTTATCTAGTTAAGGTTTATTTTTGCTAGGAAGGCAAGTTATATTATTCCAGTTTTAGAGATGAGGGAATGGAAGCAGAGTAATATTCCTTAAAATGATTTGAGAAAATTGACAGAGGGATTTGGGGTCACAGACAATGACTCAGGATTACCTTGTTCTCATTTCTAAATTCAGTCATTAGTCTGTCTTACCCAACCCCTCTGGCATGATTTTAAGGAAGAAACATACTTTTTATTGAAGATGATAATAGCCAATAAATACAAGGAACAAAATAAAGGCTAGCTGAAGCTAACACACACGTATGTATATGTTCTTATTATTACTTGCTTAGCACTGAAAATGTGCTTGATTGAACATTAGATTATGCACATGCATCAGGAATACTGATTATATAGAAAAAATAATTATTTCTAATTATGCAATTCAATTATTTTGATAATCTCTTATTAAGTAACCATGATTTCAGTAAAAATACTAAGGAAACTGCAACATATTATTACACTAAAATTTGCTAGCTGCATGAATTAAAATAGTTTCTCAAGTAGCAACCTAAGGGTTAGTGGCCTTAATAACTTTAATTTAGTGTCCGTCTCAGTAGTTCTTCTTGTTGGTGCTTTGCAAGTACCAGGCACACCTATGATAGTCTATAAATAATAATTTGACATAATAGAGCAATTCAGTCAGCGTGGCCCTACTGATTTGATTTAAACTGTGCTGATTTACACCAGCTCATTAGAGCTGCCAAATAAGTGTAAAAGCTATGGCCAAATATTTAACAGAAGTAAGCAGGGAAGGATTCCAGTGCACTATCCAAATCAATTTTTGAATACCACATTCAAAGATATAGAACAGGCCAATTAAATGGCCCGTGTGGAACAGCATGTGGGCAGATGAAAAGGGAATGCCTCTTCTGAGTCACAGTACTTCAACAAAGCTTGAGTTTAAAAGGGGCAGCAGCACCCTTCATATGTCTTTTGCTGCGCTTTGCTTGTAATCCTCATAGTCAGTGATCTATCAGAGCTACCCTTAATTTCCCTTAAACTTGTGGGGTACAGCGATATATTCAGATTTTCTGTGGCTGGTGAGTTTTGGGCAAGATATGACTTACTGGATATAAAAAAATATATAGCATTTCCAATAAAGTATTTTAAACTATGCATTTTAATTAGAGTTATTGGTACAGGCATTCCAATAATAAAGAAGTCTTTATGACTATGTTATGCTTGCTGATTGAAGCAATGTATATAACAGCAGGACAGGCACAGTATTGTCATCACATCAGTATGACTGACATTTGACATTGTGAAATATACTCAGGCACTAATCAGTATGCCCACTGTTGCTGTTAAAAACTGATATATGACGGTGATTAATTGCTTTTGAAATTTTGATCAAAATTCATCTGTCCAATTTTCTGGCCCCAGTTCCATAAGTCAAATCTCACCCTAGGATTACAGAAATCAATTTAGTGTAGGCCTTTGTGAAAGCAGAGGAAAAAAAGAAGAGAGATGTAATTTTTGAGTTGTCAGTGACTGATTGTTTTTTTGATTTCACATTTTTACTTAAGATAGAATAAGCCTTACCGTAGCTGTCATAAGCGTCTTCACTTGTTCCATGACCATAGTCATAATATTCAGGCACACTGTAACAGATTCAGATAACAACAATGTTACTATAATCAGAAAGGATCTGTGCAAAAGCTTAAACAGTATATGAAAGCAAAATGTACTGTGTCACTTTTACATGCTGTCATAGCAGACCAGCTATCTCTAGTTATGAAATACAGTCAGACTGCGAAACTACAAAGAAAAATGAATCAGTGAAAATATAACCTTTAGTTCAGCATACCATATTTGTTATCTTCATTTATCTACTAATTATACAATAAATCTTTTTCTTAAATATGAAACATAAAAATGTGATGTTCATGAACAAAGTCGAGTATACTTATCTGTTTCACTATTCATTGGGATTAAAGTACCAAATCATATACCTCTTAGCCTGACTAACTTTAACTACCCAAATTTCTCTAATATTGATATTCACTTTAATTTTTATTTCCCCTGAATACTGCTGCCTGTCATAATAAGCCTGTAAAGTAGTTGCTTTTACAGAAGATTTTTTGGTCATGCTTTCTGCAAAGATGCTCTTCTTGCTTTGCTTAGAAATTGGAAGCCTGAATCTCCACAGCCTTATGTCTTGTGCCATCACTTATGCCGGTGCAGAGTAGATATGCAGTACAAATAAAAGTGATAAAATTCATCATAATTATTTTAATTTGTATTCAGTTATCACCTAATAGTCCCCAAGTCAGGATCATTGCCCCATTGTACATGGCACCATACAGCATCATAAATGAAAGAGCACACACCAACTGCACATGCTTCTTCAACCTGACAAAGGGCATTTATACCCAAAAGCTTGCAAAGAAGGACTTTTCCAACTATTTGAATTGGTCTAATAAAAGACATCAGATTTACCTAAAGAACTTTGGGTAAATTCTCTGGACAGGTTGGACAAGTGGGCAGAAAACAAAAGAATGCAGTTCAACAAGGAGAAATGCAAAGTGCTGCACCTAGGGAGGAAAAATGTCCAGCACACCTACAGCCTAGGGAATGACCTGCTGGGTGGCACAGAAGTGGAAAGGGATCTTGGAGTCCTAGTGGACTCCAAGATGAACATGAGTCAGCAGTGTGACGAAGCCATCAAAAAAGCCAATGGCACTTTATCGTGCATCAGCAGATGCATGACAAATAGGTCCAAGGAGGTGATACTTCCCCTCTATCGGGCGCTGGTCAGACCGCAGTTGGAGTACTGCGTGCAATTCTGGGCGCCGCACTTCAAGAGGGATGCGGATAACCTGGAGAGGGTTCAGAGAAGGGCCACTCGTATGGTTAAGGGCCTACAGACCAAGCCTTACAAGGAGAGACTAGAGAAACTGGATCTATTCAGCCTCCGCAAGAGAAGGTTGAGAGGCGACCTTGTGGCTGCCTATAAGTTCGTCACGGGGGCACAGAAGGGAATTGGTGAGTATTTATTCACCAAGGCGCCCCCGGGGGTTACAAGAAATAATGGCCACAAGCTAGCAGAGAGCAGATTTAGATTGGACATTAGGAAGAACTTCTTCACAGTTAGAGTGGGGTTGGACTCGATGATCTATTGAGGTCCCTTCTGACCCTAACATCTATGAATCTATGAATCTATGAAACTTTGTCTGCTTATGTCCTTAGACCACAACGGCTACAACCTATAACCCTGTAGGGTCTAACCAAAGAGTTTATAAGTCTCCCATGGTTTCCCCACCCGCCGCAAACTTTTTTTCTTCATAAATTGTATTCATTCCATCCTCTACAAATTAAGCAAAAACAGACTCATTCTTCATTTTTATTTTCATTTTTTGCTGGGGGAGAGCAGGGGTTACACAGGCTGGGGAAGCTGTCAGATTTTGAGTGTCTTGAATTTGTAGTAACATATAGCTATTTGATGGTTTGAGAATAAATCATGTTGTGCAGTCTATCTAACAGCAATTCAATGCAAGCATTTCACAGTTCACAGTCTAACTGCTTTGATTTTGGCCCTATTGTACATGACTTTTCCCCCACTGAGTGGACCACAGGTTTCTAATACAATTCCTTACGATTAAAAATTCACTGTGCATATAAAGTCTAAAATTTTTGGAAAATACACTGTTTTAGCCAGTGTTTCTTCAGGTGCTCAGATCCTACACTGATGTGGCCTTAGAAGCATCTAGGGCAAATTAAATCAATTCATAAAGAGTCTATTTACACTTTCCCAAGGTTGGCACTGGGGAACAGTGCCATTAATCATACTCACCTATGCATGTTAATGATCCACCTATTGCTTCTATTGTGTATGCCAACTCCATGAAATGAGAAGATTATCTGTGTTTGAGTGGCACTGTGCTCCAAGCAATACTTTTCTACTCTTGCCTTGATCATGGCTATTGGCATGTGCTCAGGACAGCTCTAAGGCAGCTGCCTTGCCTGGGATTTGATGCATGTGGAGTGGGAATAAATGAATGGGACAACCTTCATGGTGGTACTCCTCGGTGCAGCATGGAGACAGTGCTGTCATGCCATAATATATGTGTTAATGTGGACACAAAGGACACAAATTGAAATAAAATTAATTCATTCAAAGATTTTTTGCTGCATTTTCTCTGCTCAGGCAATACAATTACAGAACAGCGTTGTCTTTGGGCCTTGTTACACAGTAATTTTAGGTGGCTTCTAGGGCTTTTAACCCCTGGATTGGCTGCACATTAACAACTTTTAAGTGGTTAAAACTACTTGTTATTCATCTTAAAGTACACCACTCCAGGACAGGAATATCTCTAATCTGTCAAATTTTGCTCCTGTCCCATTAAGTTGTGGCCATTCTCCACAGCTATTCCACCCAAGTTGAAGTCCTCTAGCATGCCAGGATACAGTGACCCCTCCAGAGTCAGGGTGAGCTGGGATGCCAGGGTACAGCTGGGCTGGGCAGGGTCCCTGCCAGTGGCTGCAGTGTCTCCTGCTCTGCCCTGCAGGAGCAAGCTGGTCCTGTCCCCAGCTCCTAGCCCTGCCTCTGCTGGCCAAGCCTCTAGGGGCAAGTAACAGCTGTGGAGGTGAAGGAAAGTCAGATGGTTTGTCGCCTTAAGGTGTGACTACTCCACCAAGCCTATCAACACTAGGCCAATTAACATTTGTATGGTTTTCAGCATAAGGTGTAATAAGGCCCTTACAGTGTAACCGGAGCATTTATTTTACTTAAAAGACTCAGGCAAACTTTAATAAAAATACACTCAACAAGCTTACTAGTGCTAAAATTCTAGGGATGACTTAAAATTCTGTTGAACATGCTAATACTTTCCTGTGATTCCAGTGATTTGGGCATACAGTTAACTGGAAAAACATAACAGATGGAGATGTGGCAGGGTGGGGATTAAAATATTAATTTAACCAGATTGACTGGTCACTTAATAAAATACTCATAAAAGACACCCAACACATCACTAAGATATGGGAGATAACAATATAAAAAAACACACATAATGTGACGCAAGCACTTGGCGTATTGACTGCAGTTCCTGGGACTGGATATTATTGGAGTAGTGAAGTTAGGAGGGAACAAACTGATTTCCAAAAATGAACTTAAATAATTCTCTCCCCTCTGGTACATTATACAAAACAATCTGACTCTAATTCATACAATGCTGGAATC